GCTTTGTGGAGACGTCTCTGAAGCCGCTGGCGTGCGGACGCTTGATCAAACAGGGCCATGCGTCGAGAAGCGCCTGGTTTCCGGGGCAAATGCCTGGAGCAACCACTTCACACTCACTTACTCACGCGGCGCACTTACTCGCAAACACGCACTCGCTCGCTCATGCACACTTACCCCGCTTGTCCGCCTCGTGCGTGTGGTGCGGGTGCCTCTCGAGGAATTCTGCACGAAATATAAGCTCGATGAGCCATTACCTCGTGCTTGTGAGTAAATGTTGTTGTACATTTGTGCTTTTTTTCTGCTCTCGTATTTGGCTGTGGAGAAAAGTTCACGTTGTGTAGGTCAAATCGCTTGCGGTGACATGTTTTTTTTTTTTAAAGCCGTGTTCGTTTCAGATTTTTGCACTGATTACACACTCCAGTTTAGATTTATGCCGTGCATAAATGCCACTGCATCTCCAGACGCTGTACTAATAGGGGGGGGAGGGGCGCGGCGCGTGTGCCTGGGGAACAAAGGGAAGAAGAGAAGCACCTCATTTTCGGTTATTTTCAGAAGGGAGTCAAGAGTTATAAGGCGGAGAGGGAAATGAGACGCTGCACAGAGAAACACGGGCAGCCAATCGGCAGAGGGGATAAGGAAGTTGTTGGGAATGGTCTCAGCTGTATAGATTACCATAGGAGGGGAGTTTGAGATAACGGTCACTATAGAGAAGGATCAACGTCCCATTAAACAGAAGATGACCCAGGGTTTTTACGAGAGGCCTTGGTTGCTGGAGCTACACGGGGCACGTGAAAGGGCAGATACTGAAATGGGATAGCAGAGGCAGGCAAGGGGTGAGTTCTCATAGGATCTTGGAAAAAGTGAAGCGGAACTTGTGATCGAGCTAGGATTGAATTAGGAGTCAATATAGGCAGCTAGGTATCAGGGTTACATTGTCTCGTTAATTAATATCGGGGATATGGCTTGCACTGTGGGCTATTTGGAGGGCGTACAAGAGAGAGCTCGAGTATAGTTTCAGTTGAATGTAAAAAAAAGCATTAGCTTTTGTGATTATCAGCATGATCATAAACATGCAAAAACAATCAGCAAATAGCATGTGTACCTCCGATTAGCACAGTTGACAACGTTACAGTTGTAGACGGGTTTTTTTAATTGTTAAGTTGAGATTTTTTTGGGTTTGCAGATCAATAGATTACTTAATTAGAAATGTTACACAATTTGTCTGCATTTCCCAGGCACTCCTCGGGCAGTTCGTGAAACACAGTCGGTTCAGATGTTTCCATTTACTGAGCGGAATCAGCAACTTTTGTGATAGTTGTTGCATTATTTGTCTTGTGTATTATATTATTTTGGTCTTTAAAAAAATATCCCAGTTTCCAAATTTAGAGGAAGCATCAGCAAGTGTAGAACAAATCAACATTGGTGTTGTACAAGGAGTCAATCAAGGTGCTATTTGTAGCCGTTTGCTTGGTGTTCGTTTGCTGATGATCTCTCCTGGACTTTGAGGTTGGAGCTTGTGGACTGAAGGATTGGGAATAGGGAAAGAATGGGGGGGGGGGGCAATTCATTTTGGTGGCATCTATAAAAGCATTCTACAAGTGCTGAAAAGACATTTTGCCGGAATCCTATCGCGCTCGGCCCAGAATGAGTTTCCTCATGCATGAGCCGCTCCATTCAGGGCACAGCCCAGGGCTATTGTGACAGCGCCGCGTGGAGGCAGGGAACCTCGGCGTGGAGGCGCGGGGCGAAGGAACGGGAGGGAGCTCAGAAGAAAGGTCGAGGCAACAATAAAGTTTGCAGCAACGCAGGGACCAAAGGGGGGAGAAGAGGAGGAGGAGGGGGGGAAATCCCCAGTAACGGCGGAGAGTGCATGGAGCTCTGCGGTTCAAGCAGCTCAAGCGTAAATCTGAGCTCTCCTGCCACAGCTTGGGCAAGATCTCTCGTTTGTGGCACTTTTTCGCCAATAAAAAAACTGAACCGGCCCGCACAGCGGACAGCGGTGTGTGTCCGGTGCGAACGCGAGAGTTTGCGCGCCTCTTGTAAAGTTTGCCTTGCCCATTGAGTTCGGTTATTGACCCTCTCCCGCGCAATGTTTGTAAAGTGATTTGTCCCACGTAAACGGGGATAATAGACCATCCTTCCTAGCCGGCTGCTCCACCCCCCCCCCCCCTTCTCGTCGAGGCGCTCCCCTCTCGCTCTAACCCCCTCACACTCGCCCCCCCCCCTCTCACACACTCCCGTGCTTCTGTGGGACAGAGGAATGAATCTAAAGCAGCCCACGAAGGAGCGGGGTTGTTTTAATGATTAGCCACCCGACCTCTCTACCCAATAAAGAGTGCGGGTCTGCAGAAGGAGGGATCAGGACTGTGACAATGGTGAGGAATGCTAATCGGGGCCTGGGCAAGGGGAGAGGTGGGGGACTTCGTTTGGAAATGTGGGAATTGTTCAGCTGAAAGGCACTTTTGGGAGGGTAGAGCAGGGCTCTGTGGGGGTCTGATCAGTCACGCTGCCACGGACAGTGTTTCTGAGCATGCGCTGTCACGAGTTTGAGCCAAACACCACAACAGAGGTTAACATTCAAACGCATTTGCGCCTATCGTCGCAAAGTTCCGTCTATTCAGTAACTCACGCAGCCAGCTGTGGCTCTAGGATTTGGTGTTACATGTTATTTATGTAGTTTATTGTAAAAATTCGGTCACAGTCCCTATGATCACTGTTACGTTGCAATTATGGCTTTATTTTTTGGTGATTTCGAAAGCGTTTTTTGGTTTGGACATGTTTGTTTTGTTGTAGTACGGATTTAGACTTATGGCCTTAATCTAAGTTTTCTTGAGGTTGTTGTTGTTGTTTGACTTGCATCCCACTGGGATTTTTTTCACACAACGTTGGTGTACGGTGCTTTTTCAGGAATATTTTGCTGGGTTTTTTCATGGCTTTTCTGTTTGCACAGTCACATAGTCACTTTTACATGTTTTCTTGTTCGTGGTTTTATTTGTTGCGGTTGCACCCGATTCAAGAGCCGAATGGCTCACAGGGCTATACCGAAATAAATGAACTGAATAAATGAACTGAATATTTCACTGCCTTCACGCACATGCTTACTACGATGCCCGTGACGTTGTGCAGAAACGTTGGTTTGGTGAGTGTGCACGATTTATTTTCACTTGAAGTTATTTGCAAGTCTCCGGCTACGAGTGGATTTATATCCCGCAAATTAGAACAACGCTGACCAAATACAGATGCTGCGTCCTTGTAAAATGCCAAATCACTGTTAAACATCCTCTTGTGGAGAGCTCACTGCCGCCTCCACGACCGTTTTTTTTTTGGACCCCTAACGCACGTGTGAGAAGACGACACACGTGTGGCCACGTAGCAAGTCTGTCCCCATCTCACCGTGCGTGGGGACTGTGCCCCGTGGGAGCGGTGGTCCATCATCGTTGCTCTGCTGAGGCCCGGGATGGGGTTTGCTACGTGGCTGCTTTGAGCAGCAGCAGGAACACCAAGAGACAGGCGGGGGGCGTGGGTGGTGTTGGAGGAGGGGGGGGATGGGTTCGTCAGCTGGCACCTGCAGGGGACCTCGGAGAGTGGGCCACAGAAAATTCTTTGCGGATCAAGTGGGGGTTCTGCTGTACAGAGCGCTCTGTTTTTTTGATTGGGGGGGGGGGGGGGGGATATTAATAAATAAATACATGCCATTTTATCAGTTGCCTGGATCCTGCGCTATGGAATGTAGGGGTTAAGCATACCGGCCATCGCAATCCGTTTTAACTGGACTTCTCATCCTGTCGCCGACTGTGCTTTGAAATTGAATTAATGACGCCAGTGTGGAGTTCTGGGACTTTCATTTGTCAGTTTCTCCTTTCGCGTTTGTTCCAATTTTACAATCACGTCGTCGTCACACCGCCCCCACCCCGCTTCCTGCACCCCCCCCCCCCCCCCCGCGTTTTTAAATTTCTCGATCCATCGTTGCATCGATGGACATTGATGTGCGAGCATCTTCAAAGTGAAACTGCTGAGGGATATTCCGCAATTAAGAATGTCGTCAAATTGAGGGCATCCGGTTTGACACATGCTGCTTTCAACAAAAGCACTCGTTAGGGCGGCTAGCTATGCTGGCCTGAAAGGCCTGAATGGGGCTTGGTGGCCTGAAGCCACAGGCATGTTGATTGGATTCGGCCCATTCATCGCAGAGATGCAGCATTCACAGCGCGCGCGAGTTCAGCGTTTGGACCCGACTCGCTCGTCACAAAGCAGCAGATAAAGAAGACCGTCTTGCTTCCCACCGAACGTCTCGTCCCGTCTGTCGTACATTTCCAGTGTAACGTGTGCGAGCAATAATCAAGAGCGACACGGAGACTAGCCCTGGCTTTGCAAGGATGCTTCGGCAGTGTTGGTCTTGCAAGCTTTGGCAGCGTAGGTACAGGTGTTGATTGAGAGCAGGCCTGGAGTTTGATGGCCCGCAATGAGTGCTTTCTGTGACGAATTGAGTTCAGTGACAACGGTTGAATCACCGAGTCGGCTTGGCCGTTTACCTACAAATAAAGCAATTGCCATCAGCGTAAAATTGCAGAGCCATCAGATTGACATGGAGCGCATTTTGCCTGTTAAATAAATGCTAGGGCGGGGGCCATAAACGTCCTCTCTCACCTGGCACGCCGCCGAGTGAGTCTGCTCATCTTCCTTGTCACTTTGACATCTCCAACAGAGTGTCGTGTAGAAGGGTGGACTTTCTCTATGCAACTCGGCACAGGTACCCAACAGAGGACTGTGCCCGGGCAAGGCTGCCTGCATTTGTCCTGCTCCAAAGTGTACTGCGTACCCTAACATTTTTCTGTGATTTCAGAAACGTACCAAAAAAGCAAAAGAAAAGTTAGGGGAAATCCTGATGTTAGAATCACAAATAAGAGACATAGAAAGCATCTTTGTTCTAAACATTGAATATTTTAGGCTAATTTAAGACACCTCGAGTCAGGACTGTGCTTCTCCGTGTTTCCTTGCAGAGGAAGATGGCCCTGGAGCCGGCTACGTACGAGAGCGCCGCGACGCGCTGCACCTCCTGAGCACTGCCGGCACAACTGGCGGCGGCGGTGGCGGCGGCGGCGGCATCAGCAAGCCAGCCCTGAGTCAGATCCCCGAGGAGCCCAGCACATCCACCACCGATGAGGGGCCCGTGCCATCATCCTCCGCCTCGTCTTCATCCACCTCGTCCACCGCTAAGAAGGCTTCTGCATCCTGCCACACCCTGCACTGCCCGGGGGCATCCCTCGGCGGGTTCCGCCCGCCTGGATACCCGCTGGACCCAAGGAACGGCTGCATCGACTCGCCGTACGGTGAGAGGCACACACGCGCCCCACGCCAGTCCAGCCGCAAGTTGGGGGCGGGGTTGGGGAGGCGGTCAGGGGGACTCGGTGGGGGTCACGCTCTGTTTGTTATTGTTTACCGAGCCTTCGTTTGACCGCGCGCGCGAGAACTCGAGCAGGAGAGACAATCGCCCGCTTTGTGATGCGGTGGCTCACGGAAGGCAGATAGCGGGGCACGGGGCGTGAAAAGCGAGAGATGGCACACAGCAGCAATGGGACGGAGGCAGTGGGCAGTGAGATGGGGTGAATGTAAATGGCACGTAGAGTCGGGTGTACAGCAGAGTTTGTCTTTGCTGTGACGTCGTATCATATATTCATGTGTTTTATCGTGTGAATGCTACAGCGGGAATTCGATGCACAGTACGTTCAGAGTCACTTCAGGCTTCTTTAGTCACACAAACATTCTCAGATGTTTAGTTTGTTGTCCTTCCCTCCGATTAGCATTGTCGGCTACATATGGTGCGAAAGAAGTTCAACATACATACGTACAAATGGAACCCTTTGTATATAACAAATCGGATTTTTGTTGTTTTTATAATGACTCCAAAAATGCATTCAAATGTTACAGCTATACGAGGACCCTTCCATTCTGGGTCCAGGGAAAATCGTGAATGCCTTTGCTTCTCGGCAGAACACGTCAGCGGTGGTGAGGCTTAACGGCCTCGCACTTAACCGCTCTGCGATGTTTGTAATAAACGTTTCGGCAAAGTCGCGCTGCGAGCAAACCTGTGCCATTGCGTGCAACCGCAGAGCGCGAGAGCGAGCACGCTGCACGTGAGGAGTCTCCCACGCTTGCACCTTCATTATGATCGATGTAAACTCCTCACCTGCAGCCGGACGCAGGAAGTCGCTGTGGTGATGAAAGCTGTGTCCTCACTCCAGGAATGTCGCGTAATTGAAAAGACGTCACTCCGGCACATGTGGTCGTGAACCCTGACCCCCCGAGCCCTGGGCGTATTTTGTGTGGGAGTGCATTCCTCCACGCAAGTGCCCTGATGGTGGGTTTCAATGTCAGGTTTGGTCAGATCCAATGAACTGACAAAGAGCACCTGGTTTAACTGCAATAGCCCTGTCAAATCAGTGAACGCTCTGTGTAACTTGACAAGTTGAGGATTTTTTTCTTCACTTTTACTTCAACGATTTTCAAATATAATGACCGAAACTTTATGCTGATCACAATGCAGAATTCGCAACTCGCGTAAGTTTGACGAACATACATCGTTTGTGAACAATTCACATACTTCAGAGCACTTTTAATATCTTTCTATTTGTCACAAACACTCATTCAATGTGCGGCCAAATTTCACAATCCAGGATACTCCAGAAAAAAGCATTTGAAGCTCAGCGAGGCTTCCCTGCATAAATAAATGATTCTTATCACTAGCTGTCAACGTAACTAGAAACATTTCCTGATGGCAAAAGCAAATGAGCTAGTTATTTCCATTTTAAGTCACAAAGATCGTAGGAACAAATACATGAAAAGAAACCTGTGTTTTTAAGCGCAAAAAAAAGATACCACTGCAAATTAATCGTTGGCTATGCATATGAAAAGTTAAGGGGATCAAGCCTGAGCACCTCTAAGCCCCCGGCCCTCAATAGTGTTCGCCGAGCAGGATTAAACGACAGAGGTCTGCATGTAGAGTGGACGGTGGCATATGCCACCGTCGCAGAGAGGGGCCGATGTGACGAGATGCTGCGCTAGGCGGCACAGGGCCCGCCGTGCCTTCTAAACGAAGGGGACAAACAGTGACCCTGGGATGGACGCGGAGAGAAGCTTTGCTGGGCTGATCGGAGCCAGGGGCTAAGGGAAGTTTGGACGGAGGCTCAGGGAGGAGGTGGTGGGGTGTTTTGGGTTGGGGTATTTTTTTTCTCCGCAGGGGCGGGGGGGGGGATGCGATGGGTTGGGTGAGGCAAAGCCTAAATGAGAACACCCACGTCGAAAAAGGGCAGGCAATCGGCAGCCAAGTGGAAAACATGTGGGGCAGGGGCGGGGGCTGCCCAAGCCCCACGGTGGTGTGGCTCGGAGTAGCGGCGGCGCTCTGTTCGGACGGCAACGCCGGCACTCCCGTGCCGGTGCGACCGTCCGCGCCGCGTGCCACCGCCGCGAATTCCCAGATCGCTCGGTGAATCGCGGATGCCACCAGCGCGCCGTCCCGCTGCCGGATTTACCTCCGTTTCACCCGCGATGGGATCTGTTGGCGCGAGCGAGTGAGGCTTGATGCGTCGCAAGCCGCATGTCATGCGAGACCCAGTAAGTCGCACTTTTTTTGTTGTTTTTCTCATTCTTTAAACCCTGTGCGATGCAGGTGCACGGTGGCCCGCATTTAGACGCATTTCTTAAAGAATGGATTTAATTTTGGGGGTGTGATGTATAACCCCAATCTTCTTTGAAAGTGACACGTGTACAGCAAATGTTACTTTACGTGTTTCAAACGGAAATGTCAGCGAAATCAAATCACTTTTCCCACTGACTCATCAGCAATGTATCCTTTTTATGGTCCGGGAGAAATATATATATTTTTTAACTTTACAGATTTCTATAAAGCACTGCCTAATGCATTAACCATATAAAGGGGATTTACCGCAGTCTGTAAATGATTGAGAATTGATAGAGAAATGTTCTCGTGAACGACTGCGTCTGCTTGAGTTGCGGAGGAGCGTCGGGGAAGTTGTGGCTAAAGTAGCACGACTGCTCCTTCGGCTCAATTCGTTGGTGCCGCCTCCTTGCGCCCAGATTTAACTGTGACCATGAGAGTTCAGCGTCCACGCTGCCGCAGCTCGTCAATGGTGCTCGATACCTCGGGGCGCTCGCGACGTGATGTTGCGATGTCTGGTGGGACGCTGCTGGAGTCTGGGCAGGTCCTACAGCGTGGACAGAGAGAGAGAGAGAGTCCGCTAAGAAATTTGTGGGACAGCTTATACTTGTCGACGACAAAACACCTCATAAAGGTGACGGGCAGTCTCCGGACACGCTTGTTTTATAGCGGTTTGCCAAGAAAAAAGAAATTCCAAAAAATTGTTAACATATTTTGGTTTCATTCGATCGGACCAGAGGAGAAAGTGACTGAGTGCTTTTCACTTGTTTAGCGAACAAGGGGCTGTGAGGTCAGGGCAGCCGGTGTGTGCACCAGCGTTTCCTCGTGTTCCTGTGACCCACTACATCTCCCGTTGCTGCGTCTCGGCATGCTAGCTTCACCATGGCTCTCGCTGTCCTTAAACTGTGACGTCTTCTGGCGGAGAAGAGGCGACGTGGATCTTTCAGATGCAGTGCAGCGAGCTCGTCCCGTCTCTGTGTGGAATGAGAATTTTAAAAAACTGTCTGCCGTCGCGATATCAATATGAGCTGGGGTAAGGCCAGGACTCCATAGGGGTGGGAGCGTGCGAGGATACGTTTAGCTGCTTTACACGCATCTCATTTTCTCTGTTTTCCATGCTGCAAATGTCAGCGGTTGCTTGAATTTCAATGTTTACAGAAGCACTAACTGTCTATGAGGCATCCAATGTCATCACATGGACTGGATTGAATCGTGTAGTAGTGAGCAGAATTGATTTGTATACGAGTCCGAGAAAGGAACCTTGGTTAGTGCAGTAGCAAAAGGGTCTAATGCAGAATTTATGGGACAATTAACTTAGCTCAAATTATTTTGCCATTAATGCTATCAGCAAACAGTGCTGTATAATGTAATATAAATGTAACATGATTGCAATTTTGGCAATGTCGATTGAGAAGGAGGCACCAAAATGTTGTTGATGTTGTATCCTTTATTTAATCAGGAGTTGAAATGAACCAAATTGAGATTCACAACTTATTGCCTCTATTCAAGGGTGGCCTGCACTGACAAGGGGATCATTCAGAATCCAAATATTTATTTATACTGGAGGAATCCAATGAGCTATAATGCTCTTTTTCACAGATGTCCACTATTTCACAGATGACATCAGGCTGATACTGAAGTCCAATCTCCACAAACGATCAGTTACAACGTCTCCCGACATGCGTGACTTTATACTCAAACATAAATCGGCGTGAGTCGGTGATACGTGCACGTTGATAGGTGATTAATACGAAGCCGGAACGATGTGGCTGGACAGCGCGACGCACGCGATCGAATCTGCGTGACGAAGCCCTTTGTGAGACACTCACTAGTGCAGACCCCTCACACCCAGTAAGCAGCTGGAAAGACGCTGCCGACTCGGGAGTTTTCTCAGGTGGGAACATTACGGACGGAGCGTAGGTTCTACGCTACCACTCCACACATTCTACATACACGCATGGAGCAGGCACTTTTTCAATAAAAGCTTTCTTCTATTGAATTTTTTTTACCTGGCAAGCCAGGTCCAGCTTGTCATGTGGTTGAGCCAATGCCCTTGTATCCTGTGTGTGTGTGTTTTTTCTGTCCATGTGAGAGGAAACTGGACAGGCCAAAGCATATGTAACGAGCGTGAGGAGTACACCCAACCTCTGCACGCACAAGTCAGGGTCCTGGCTTGTGCGTGCCACCTCCTTGGCAGGCACCACGCCCATCCCCCTTTTGGGGGCGCTGCGCTTAATTGAGATGTGCGTGACGCGGCGAGGAGAGCGGTTGCTTCACTTCCACACGTGCGACTCTGAGAAAGCCCTGGACACGAGGCACTGCTCGAGACACAGGGCCGAGGGGCCACCGATGTGCCTCTCCCCCACCCACCCTGTGCCGGGCGCAGCGGCGTTACCGTTTCAATGCATTTGGCAGCAGTCCTTTTTTCCGTGGGTGGTCCCGTTTAAGGGCTATAATGTGTTTTTTTTTTGTTACCAATGAGTAATAAAACTCAATGAAATATCTTGCAGGAACTTGTGGCGTGTATGGCACGGCATGTATATGGATCTTCCAGACGTTTTGTTATTCAATTAGAAAACAGCTGACTTGAGAACCAAGTCGCCAGAGGATTAGCTCAGTTGCTGCACTCTGTCCAATTTTCCCCTTAGGCAACTG